TCCGACTAGACCGGGCAGCTCTACTCACGCTCACGTTCTCCTTCTCGCCGCCCCCGGCCTCAGGCTGCGGCTCTCTCATCACCCTCTGGATGCAGGCGTTCAAGCAATGGCGGATGACATGGATCAACTTCGCTAGAGTGTTAAGATGAACAAGGATTTATGTGTTTCCTCTACAAAATTAACTTCCTAATAGTAAAATTATAATCCAGAATAGTTGAAAGCAATTGTTTTGAGGGAAATCATTAAAGAAATTCATTAAAGCATGAAGCTTATTAACTGGACAACACTGAACATGCACAAAGTGTATCATGTGGCTGGGTATGGTGGCTCACACCTGTAATCCCAGCATTTTGGGAGGCCAAGGTGGGAGGATGGTTGAAGGTCAGGGGTTTATAAGACCAACCTGGACAACATAGCGAGACCCCATCTCTACCAAAAATAGAAAAGTTAGCTGGGCATGGTGGTGCGTGCCTGTAGTCCCAGCTACTCAGGAGGTTAAGACGGGAGGATCGCTTGAGCCCAGGAGTTTGAGGCTGCAGGGAGCTATGATGATACCACTGCAGCACTCTAGCAGGGCAAAAGAGTGAGATCCTGTTTCAAAAATAATAATAATAATAAAAATTTAAAAGTAAAGTATACCATGCTTTAGGGGGAAACATAACAGGAAGTGAGAAAGAGCAGTACCCAGTACCTATGTTGGTGCAGGCCGTGTGCTCGTGGGCGTACTGGTAGAACTTCCTGGCGGCTGCGTGGTTCATCTGCACCAGCGTGACGCAGCGCTCACACCAGACCTCCTCTGGCTGGTTCACGGGCAGGAAGGAATTAAATATGAGGCTCACCAGGCGCCGAGACACAGGTCGAGAGTCGGTTTCCAGACGAACCAAGATATGCTCCATGGGGCATATCTTCCAAAACTGCACACAAAGCACACGCAGAAGGAAATGACCCATTGTTTCTGTGACACTGAAAACAGCCTAAGCAAAATTTCTAGAGCATAACTAAAAAAAGAATTGATTTTTATATTCAAGAAAATTCATCTCAGGCTGGGCACGGTGGCTCACGCCTGTAATCCTAGCTCTCTGGGAGGCCAA